AAGGTCTGTTAACCCAAGAACAAGCTAATAAACTAAACTGTTTCTTTCAATAATGGTCGTTCTCTATGTATTAGAAACTAGCCTGTCAAGACATTGGTCCACTGAAAGGCAATCACCATGCATTCCACTTTTTTAATCCCATAATCATATAGTGCCACACCTATTCCATCAAAGTGTAATATAAAGGAAAATTAAACAGACAAAGCTTCTTTAAGTTTAAGTACAGTTGTAACTTGTAACCTTTAACCAGCTTTAAAAATAACCAATTGATTTGGAGTTGGAATAACACCATGGAAATAACTAAATGAGCGAGTTTCACTAGCTTCTTTGTGGATAGAAATACCAGCTTCTGCATACATAATTGCAATTGGTGTTGCCTTAAACCAAAAATAAAATTAATATAAATAAAAAAAGAAAACTATTTTTATTTACAAAAGTATTATTACTCACTTTTGATTTAAACTTCCGTTTGGGTGGTTCGAACAAAGGGTGAAAATCATCAGCGTTATCATCATTTAGCTTTATTCTGTATACAGTTGCTCTACATAATCAAGATCCAGGCTTATAGATATCAACTACCTATTAGCAGAATGCTCAACAACTGTTTGGCTGGTTAGTACACAGCTCTTTTTATCATCCATTTGATGATTGTGGAAGATCTGCTCTTCTCTCTTCAACTTTATATTCTTATTAAGGATATTAAAAGGTATAAAAAAATCTATATTCGATTTTCTCTTCAAACTTATTTCATAAGCATTTACAAACTCATTCAATTTTTTTGATGCCAGCTCTGAACACTAATGGCATGCTAAACTTCACATTCCAGAGCTGCTCCAAATTTTTTGCTATTATTTGTATAACGGCTCTTGATGGTGGTAGGGGCGTGTGTCAACTAGATGGTGATAGTAGCCAAGAATGTGCTGGAATTCTGGAATCGTCTTGAAATTGGCCAAGGATTTTGTCCGTAATCCATAAGATGCTGATGAAGCAATCAGTTCCTGAGATTCCTTTGAACACGTTGGTATTAAATTGCTTGCTTTCCTCTTTAATGCTCCCTAAGCACTTGTGTGGGACATATTTAAGTAAATATAATTACAACTAAAATAAAAAGTTGATTACAATTACTTTATTTCTACTCAAGCAATAATAGTTAAGCTTTTATATTGTATTCACTTTTATATTGCCTTTATAATTCAGTTTTATATTGTATTTACTATTAACTTCAGCTAATTTAAAAAATATCATACAAATTATCCAAATTTTTGCATAAGTATTTTGTCTAATTTCCATATAGTTACTTTTTTTTTTGATCTAGTAAAATTTTTAAATATTTGATTATTTTTTATTTAGTTGCTCTTAGAATACAATTATTCATGTTTTAGAAAAGGTTTGCATGACAAACTAAAAAATAGAATCACACTAATATATAATTCATAGTGTTTCCTTTAAAATATAGATACTGATATAATTAATTTATAGAATTATAGTCATAGAAATATATATATATATATATATATATATATAATATATATATATATATATATATATACATATATATGTATAAACATATATACACATATATATATGTATATATATACACATATATATGTATATATATACACATATATATGTATATACATATACATATACATATATATATATATATATATATATATATATATATATATATATATATATATATATATATATATATATATATATATATATATATATATATATATATATATATATATATATATATATATATATATATATATATATATATATATATATATATATTATATATATATATATATATATATATATATATATATAATATATATATATATATATATATATATATATATATATATATATATATATATATATATATATATATATATATATATAAACTTTGGCCACAAATGCCCCAAATGTGAGAGCAACAAGTTGACAAAATATTTTTTTTACTATTCTTAACTAAAGTTATATTCATCGATGGATTTTAAATTTCATACAATAATCTTTTAACATTTAACAGTTATGACCATATAAAATTTGTAACCCCCTCAAATTGAGGGGGATTTTATATGGTCATAATTTTTGAACGCTTAGAAATTATACTATGAAATTTAAAGTTTATCAATAAATATAAGTTTGGTTGAAAATAGTAAAAAAAATATTTTGTTAACTTGTTGCTCTCACGTTTTGGGTAGCTTGTGGCAAAATTTTTAGGGCTTTTTTGTTTCCAGGCTCGAATCATCGCAATTTTTTACAAAGCATCTTTATTTGACATAACTATAAATATATAAATATTTGGAGTTTTTTCCATGTCTAAAAGATAACTATCTCAAGTAACCAATCTTTCCATGGTGTACCATAGGAAAATAGATGAGATTGACCTTGTTCTTGCATATGGTTGCTGATCAAAGTGATGGCGTCATTGTAATTTTTACAAAAAGCCTCAATAGGATAATTTAATGAGTGAATCTACCAGAGTTGATTTAAAATGTTGCGTCAATCTTGTGTTTGAGTTGCTGAAATTGTTTCACCTATGTCATTGACACATCTATTAAAAGTTACTGGTGTGCTGAATGATTAAGCAGTTTTGTTCAGTAAAAGTTCGCCACTTTTTATTTACGCCAATGCAAGCGCATCTTAGTCTTTGGTTTATGTTATTGTTTTTTTTTTTTTTTGTTTATTTTTGCGTGCAAATTTTTTTGAGCCATATTTTGTATTAGAATAGATTTAAGAACAACCGATTTAAAAGTTGAACGAAAAACTTATAAAGATTCATTGGTCAGTTCAGACGTAATTAATTATTAAAAGCCCAATTTACCAAGTGAATAATTACCATTCATTCAATCCCATAGTTCACCGTTTTTGTTTTTAACTCATAGTTTTTTATAAAAAATAGCAAATTTAATTTGAAAAAAAAATATCGACCGGGGTGAAAAGTTATACAATTTTTTGGCGTTAAAAGTTATACAATGTTTCTATTATTGAAGATTTTTGTCATTTTTGTATTTCAACAGTAAATTTAGATTAAAGATTTTTATAAACATTCCGTGCTTACCATAGCTGTTGCTTCCACACTGTTAAATTTAAATAAATAGTTAATGTGTTAACCGCACTCATTTCACCGCATATTGTACTATTTTGAAACCATATGTTTATCATTAACTTAAATAAAACAACGAAAGATTTGATCGAAGACAAGAACGTTAAAAAAATAATGTACAAAGAACATAACAATTTTATGTTTGTGAAATTTTTTTTACTATTTTGAGCTGTAGTTTAAGTTAAAGTTGGGATAGCAGCTCATATTTCAGCCTCGGATTTAAACTGATTACCTGTAGTATCAGCTTGAAGCTGAAGCTGATCCGTCAATTTAATCAGCTTGAGAGATAGTAGTAAGATAAAGTAAAAGTGGCCGAAAAGGAAATACTTTATAAATTAATTGCATAAAAAATAATGTAAAAAATTGTTCGATGAAAATCTAAAATAGTGACTTCAAGGTTGTGTAAACAGCATGATGTAGCATTTGAAATACCGGGGTATGGTTGGTTAGCATGCAAAAGAAGCATATGATCATAATAGACAAAAAGGAAAGCTCGTGCCTGCGTTCAGAGGTTTTTTCCACAAAAGAATAATTACCAACATAAATGATGAAAAGTGGAAAATAGTGATGCACACTGCAAATATACTAAACTCTTTTTTAGATAGCTCAAGAGATTTCGGAAGATATGTTTATAACAAAAGTATGTTATTAATAGTTCTTTACCATTAGTATTATCATCTACAATACAAAAAATAACAATTAAAGAAGGAGGAAATGTAATTTTTCTAGCAAATTTTGTGCTGCAAAATATACTGCTCTGTGGTTTGAATACTAGATTTGGTTCAGATTTAGATGGTGCTGTAGTTAATAAGCATTTTCGAGTAGGTCCATATACTCGTCCAATCGGTTTTAGTGTTTACACTCTTAGCAGTCACAATTAGTTCAAGAATGGAAAATGAGTAAGATCTCCAGTAACAGACGCATATTGTGTTGCTATTTTAATAAGAAATAGCCATCAAAACTTATTAGTTATGATAGATGTAGATGATAATGCTAATAATGTTCATATACGCTCCACACTTCCTTGTCCTATAACTTCTGAGATTAATAATGCTCAGCAGCGTGTTGATGCAGAGATATCACAGTATTTAGCAGAAAGATAACTGACTTGAACTAATGCAGGTGTAGTAGTACCTCATGACAAACCGATTTCATCTAATCCATTAAAATAGTGGTAATAGGTTAGATTAAATGGTCCCAAAGAGCTACTTGGTTTCTCACACTAGCTTATATGGCTAAGAAGATATTATGTATTCCAGTAACATCAGCGCCAGTTGAACGCTAATTCTCCAGAGCAAATAGCCCTATTTCCATAATGATTGAGCAAACCCTAATAATCGAGCAAAATTATTACCTAAAAACGCTAAAGATTCAATTTTTTTATATGATGCATGGCTAAACTTGAAACAAATTTAAAAAATTATTTAAACTAGATAATAATTATAAATACATGTTATTTGTTAAATATGTATTTATTAATAATACCTATAAATATTGTGCTGCATGCAGTGGTGTAGCAAGGATGGTAAATGTCCAAGCACAAAATGGCTAAAAAGACCCCTTTTTAATAACTTTCATAACAATAATATCTTTTTATATAAAAAAAAATTTTATTTTGCTCCTCGTATTTTTTTAGCGCCCTCTAAACCACTTGCGTCGGGAATCAAAGCCCCTTTGGGGCTTTGACCCTCGGCGCTACTAGTTGCATTTGTCAAATAAGTTTACACAAACTAAAAAGACATTAAAAATAAAATATAATATCTATTTATAATCACAAGTAATAAAATTAGCAATTATGAAATAAAACTTGACAGTTTACTGAATACCTCAATAACTAAAACCGTGCAAATCAAAAAAATCATGCTTTAATTCATCTTACCTTAGAAAGTATTAATATTAGATTTATCTAAGCTTAAATATTATTCTCATTAACACCAATTCAACATCAAGTTATCAAAAAACTTCGAGACATTTGAAAATTATTGCATTAATACCATAAAATATTTATTCTATTTAAGTTTTATCGATTTTTTAGTTCAAATATTCAATTCTATTCATTAAAAAACTATTCGAATTTATTTTTAATCGTCGAAAATCACAGATCGCTCTATAAGTTAATAAATAATACCACAGTTGGAAAACATAGTAAATAAGAAACAGAAACAGTCAAATCAAAACTTTTTATAGATTTTATTAAATGATTTCCATCTTTTTTAAAAAAACCAACTTTTTTAATTAAAAAAATATAACCCGCTATCTCCTTTTATCTTAATATTATAATCTTCTCTGCTTCAACATGAAGATTATAATATATATTTTTTCAATTTGACTTTTTTCAAATTACAATTTTGCTTACTTTAAAAGTTTCTTTTTATGTCAGGGATCGTCCATAAAGTACGTACGCTTTTTATTCGTCGGCCCCCTCCCCCCTTCTCCCCGCATTTACTTTATGGACGACCCCTCACTTTGACTAAACTCATTAATAATGTTCTGATATTCGGTTCGGCGAATCAGTGTTGTAGTGTAAGTTGTGTGACTTTTTATTTTGAAATTTTTAAAATGGCGTCAAGGAAGTTTATTGATTCAATTGTATTATATAAAAAACGGAAAAATTTGACTTACTTGATACCATCTCAATAGTAATTTCAATTATAGTTTTAAATTTTACAACTTGAAATTTTAGAAATTTTTTCGATTAAGGTGCTTGGAGTACATATATGTTCTTTTGTTCGTATTAAACCTTCCAACTCTCTAGGCTTTGCCGTGTGATTCACGGTTTGATAATGAATCTCACGGTCTCACGGTTAACCCAAATTTCTCACGGGAACTTTTAAAAATTTTCAAAAAAAAAATTTTCATTTTTACTTTTGCTCAAAACAATATAAATACCAAGAACCGGCACCAACATATAGCTTTAAACATTGATTTATTTAAATTATAAATCAAATCCGACTTTTTAAAAATGGCGACAAAGCAAAATTATTGATTAAAGCTAATTTAGCTTAACATGGTGCCCACCATGTTACCCGGTTACCGGGTTAGGGCAATGATAATGCATTCAAAAAGGCTGAGGTGTCTAATGGGATTTTTGGTTAAACTTTTATAGATTGTTATTAATTATCAGGACAATTTCAGCTAAATCCCAGTGGGCAAGCGTCGTCCGGAGGTCGTCCGTAAGATGTCTCCTGGACGTTCGGACGTCCATATGACGTACAACAGACGTTCCCTGGACAACGCATGTCCACTGGATTTTGGTAGCAGTTTTAAACGTTTAACAAAAGTATTTGAAATAATCGTTTATGAGATAAGGTACCATAAAATGTCAATTCTGTCTAATATCATTAAAAATCTTATCAGATACCTTACCAATAATATTCTTCACAATAAAACTGAATTGGAAAGTTTGTTTAGCATTGTAAAAAAGGGAAACCGCCTAAACAGCTGTCAAAAACCTCAAAGAAAGCAGCATAAATTTGCAATTACTAACATAACGAATAAAATTGAGTTTTTTTATTTATCAAATATAACTTATCATACTATTTTAAGTATTCTTGTTAAAAAAAAAACTTATCATACTATTTTACTATTTTAATTTATTTTAATATAACTTATCATACTATTTTATCATACTATTTTAAGTATTCTTGTTAAAAAAAAATCTTTTTTTAAAAAAAGTTGTTTATGTGTATCCAGGTTTTTGTGTAAATCTAATGGTTTTTTAATGAATCTCAAGGTTTTAAAAAAAAGGTTGGAAGGTCTGTTTTATATATGTCCGTATAATCTTTCAACGATAAAAAAATTTTATTTATAATAAATTATTATGTTTTAAAGTTAGATTATTGATCACAGTCAAACAAAAAATCTGTGGTGTATATACACATCACAGCTTTATAGCTAGCACTATAATCATTATTTTTTATTACTTAATATATATTGCAATAATTACATCTACATCTATCATTACTAATAAATTTTGATAGTTATTTCTTCTAATAATAGCGGCAGAATAAAACATTACAAGTCTTTTCGATAATTACAAATATTGAGACTTGGAAGCTATTATTATAGTTGTTTTAGATAAATCTACTGTAATAACAAAAAACTAAAAAATATAAAACCACAAGCACAAAATATTAAATTTTGTGTTTATTTATGATATTCTTATTAAGAGGGGTCCAAAATTAATTTTTTTTTGGACTTTGTGTAGTTTAACCACTTTTTCTTAATTAATTTTTTACTTACTTTATTTATTTAATTACTTAATTTTTTTTCATTATAAATATTTGGCCTTCTACTTCAATTTATATATGAGAAGCCGTGGCGCAGTGGTAGCGCACTTGTCTCAGAAACAAAGAATGCGTGGTTAAACCTCACTTCTGGGCAAGTTTTGCGTCATCGGTTAGGAAGGAGGCGTGAACTTCCAATTAAATGCTCTTTCGCGGTACTCTGTGATAAGAGCGTAAGGATTTCTTGGGGCACCTAAATAAATTTAAAAAACATATTTAAAACAAATAAAAGTGGTTATTTTGACAAAACGATCAATTGTTAATTAAATGAAATTATTATTATTATTAAAGTAGAATCCATGAAATGACTCCATATAAGAAACAACTTGTAACAATTTCTAGTAGAAAATGCAAAATAACTTCATTGCAGTGATTTGATTACTTTCTCGAAATCAAGAAGTCTGAGGTTCGATGTTAAGTTTGACCAGATAAGCAGCATTGGTAAGGAAGGATGTATAAACTTCTTAATTAAATTGCTCTTGCTTTGTGATAAGACGCTTGGTTCTTCTTGAAGCATCTTATTGACTAAAAAAAATGTCATAGCAGGGGAATGTAGATTGTTGTGAGGACCAAGTTAAGTAGAAAATTTAAATTATTATCTTCATCTTATGTAGACATAAGACGGCGTTTTTTTGTATTTTCATCAATAAATATGAATTTAAATAAAGTGGATTTTTGCTGCAATGATTTACTACTTTGTTATTATCATTAAAATAAACATCCCATTCATCAATCGTTTTTTGAAATTTAACATATCTTTCTATTTTTCAATATATTTATTGACATCTGATTCGCAAGTAAATGGGCTGCCTTTCAAATACGCTAAGATATAATATCTCTTAGACACCTAAAGCTTACAGTTTTTTTTTTTTTTGCTAACCCGCTCTGTCTGAGTTATTTCTGTCACTGGTTCCAACTGTGGGAAAAAGATAGCTAGATGACAGACGACATGTTGAAAACGTCTAAAACACGTATTACTATGTTTTTTAAACATAGGTAGCGACTAGCTAGCTATTCTCCGGCTAGTCGCTAGCTCATTTCCCACCGGGATATTTTAAAACATTTTAACAATAAGATACATCTCCTGAAATATTTCTAAATTACCTAAATCTTGATTTCACAATGATTTTGATATTTAATTATATTACCACAAGGAATTTTTGTAATCGGCGTTATTTCAGAAGCCGATTGAAATGAGTGCAACGCTGACGCTTAAGTTCAACGTTATTTGCAATAGTTTTATAAATTGCAAACACCTGATTAAAAACGTAATACATCAGTTTTTCATTATTGTATCTTTGTTCCAAATCCATAATACTTTCTTGATTTCTGTTCAAAAAATATATCTAAATTTTGCAAAATATTTGCAAGAATTGTATAATCATCCAAGTTTTTTGATTCATATATACGACGGTTACTGAGCAATGAATTCTATTTAATGAAAATTTCCGAAATATAATTTATTATTGACTTTATTAAAGACAAATACAAAGCATCGCTGAGTAAACGCAATATTGTATGATAAAATTCGCCTATTACTTGAAGATTTCTAAAGAAGTTTAATAATTTTGATTTATTTGTTTACTAATTTATGATTTATTTTTATATTAGTTTGTTACTTCTTGTAGCAAAATTTTTTATTTTAATCGGTATTTTAATTCAGTTAAGATTATTAATAGCAAAGTATTTCTAAAACTTGCGCTTCTTCAAACGATAAAAATTCTAATTTCTATCTTTCTCATTTTAAAATAAATTCTCTTGAAAGGGAAATAAATGAACGCAGCGTTGGAGTTTTTATTTACGTTCATGAAAATGCTCTGACGGTGATGGAGAAATATTTACAATTGAGATTATTAATAAACTAACAAAAAAAATTCTAATTAGCTGTTGTTATCGACCGCTAGATGGTTTAAGCGAGAACTTGAGAATGTTTTTACAGCGAAAAGTTATTGCGAAACGTAACAACAAAAAGAAAAAAAAAATTCTTGTTGGTGATTTTAATATGAATTGTTTTTACTACAATGCCTATAAAAAAGTTAGAAACTTTTATGATGCAATTTTTGAATCTCAAGTAATTCTTTTAATAAATCGTCCAACAAGAATAACAAAAAAATCAGCAACTTTGCTGGATAACATTATTTCCACAGACTTGTTCAACCAAAGGCGTGTCTAGGTGGACATCACCTAGACACGCCCCGGTTGAACAAGTCTGCTACGTCATTGGACGTACTCAAAAAATTAAAATAAAAGTTTTTCAACTTAATTATGTTTTTGAAAAAAGTCATACTATATGTAACTATTAAAAGTCATACTATATGTAACTATTAAAAGTCATACTATATGTAACTATTAAAAGTCATACTATATGTAACTATTAAAAGTCATACTATATGTAACTATTAAAAGTCATACTATATGTAACTAATAAGTATATAACGCAGCTAAAACTAAACAAATTATGCACGGTTAATTATCTGAAACGGTTGGAAAAAAACTAAAAAAGGGAAAACATAATAGTATATCTGTTTCATAATTTTACGATTAATAAAAAGTAATAATAACAATATTTTAATGGAGGTTAAATTAACTTTTGAGTTTAATAACTTATTTAGAAACTTGAATTGACATAACTTATTTTATTTTGTTATATAGAACTTTATTAAGTTTTTTTTTTTCACTAGTTTAAAAAAAAAC